ATAAGGCTATTTATACGGATCGCCCGATGCTGTTTAATTTTTTTTCGTTTAAACGTAGGAAATTTACCCTATAGCCTGGTTACCGGGATAAAAAATCTTTTGTGGGCGAAGTTAGCGGGGGAAGGCGAAAGGGCTGCAGTCCATTGTTTAGGGGGAGGGGGGTGGGCTGTGCCCCTGAATAGGGTATGGTTTATCAGGGTCTTTCGTGTGCTGCTCTCACGTGACCTCTTGTGACTCCTCCAAACTTCCTTCTGTACGCAGAGTGAACAAAAATAACAATATTTCAACGGCGAATAAGATATAATGGAATAACTTACTAATTAGGAGCGTTGCTTGGGAACGGGCTTTCGGTACTTTACCCGCACCATGTAAAGGAATTCGGATTCTGGAATCCTGGAAATTTTTGCTTTTGGAATCCGGAATCCAGGACTATGGAATCTGGAATACACCTCAAGGAGTCCGGAATCCACTAACAATTGAATCCAAGTTTTACTAACAAAGACTGGAATCCGGAATCCACGGTGTGGAATCCAGAATCCAAGACTGTCTTGGCTTCCTTTACATGGGGTGACTTTAAGGTTTGTAATGCTTACCAAAGGCTATGAATATATGAAGAATTAAGCAGATCGAGGAGGGTGTTATCCACCGAAGCCGAAATTATTCATTCAAAATAATTCCTAGTTTAAAAACATAGATAAAACACGCTTACCTGCATCGATGTTAAGTTCATGTTCGATAGTGTACGTTTAGGTTTGTCGAGCTCCGCAAATATTCTCCAAATCGCAGATGTCGCTCTCTGAGTTGTCTTGTTGCTGTTTTTGCCATGTTTTTAGCTATTATTTCGCCTCGTTCCAGCTGTAGTTTTACTCGGTTAGCATTAGGTAACATCGGCTGAAGTCGGATTGTTTCTTTCAATAAAGTTACATGAAAAACAACAGTCCAACTTTACTGTGTATAAGTATAAAAGTGAAATAGAAAAACTCCACTGTGATGCTTTGAACCCGGGTCACTTGCTTCATAGCCTACATCCATATCCACTACACCATCGAAGACTAGCTGCCAAATCCAGTAATTTTTAAAATATACATGTTCTTATATATGCCGTACCCCATTACAATATTTGAAAGCTAACCGTTTTCAGTTCAGTGCTTAACCCTAATCACAGCAGATCAGTGCTTAACTCTATACTGTGTTCTCTCCATAACTGGCGCTCCGTAGTTTTGGTTTCTTCAGCTATTCTAGCCTAATTCTACATTCCAGTCTCGTTCCATTATGGAAATAATGCGTTGTGTAAAATTCATAAGGTGTCCAATCTGGCTTCACTCGATGTTATCTGACGCTAACCGTTTTACTCTTGAAACTAGCGAAGTATCCACCATTTTTTTTTTTCATAACCAAAACAAGTCAACCTCGTCCCCAGGTCTCCTCGGTAACGGTGCCTTACCTATAGCGGGCTGCATTTTTGACGTAATTTCCTCGTCGAACACAAAATTCTTCCAAATCTGGTCATCACTAACTGGTTATGGTGAATTATGGGCGTGCTTTTAGCCAATCAGAATTGGGGAAATATTTTGAATGAGTAATAATATTTATTTAATTGAATATACGGATTTAGTCACGTACAAGGACCATTATGCCTGTTAAAATTCATCTAACTGAAGAGGCAAGGGATGGATTTGCGCTAGCTTAACCTTAGGAGTATTACGGGGTTAAATTGTTGGTAGGGCTGTGGTGCGTATGTCTAGCGGTATTGCGCGCCAAGAGACGAACCGGCGGAGATTGTTTTGTTTACTGTTCCGTCTACACTTACGTAACTTTTTAACCATCGCCTTACCCAAATAAAAATAAATATTTCAGCATTACAAATTCAATATGGAATCCGGGCATTTGCTAAATTTAAGCGTCCAGAATGCACAAGATTGCATCTCAGATATGTTCCCGGAGGAGCATGTCCAGAATGCACATTAATGATTCAAAAGATTGCATCTCGTCAGATATTAGAGTGATGCATTCCAGATCGGATGTTCCGACTTCCTTTTATGAACATTTCATCAAGAAATTTCATATAAGAAAAGTGAAATGTCTTGTGAGAGGAGGATGTCAGTTTGGTGGATGGAATCAAGTGACGACCGCACACGAAACGTCCTAGAAAAGTGCGCCGTTCGCAGTCCTGATGGGCGCTATCGCGCTCATATTGCCACTGTATACCATATCTCTAAGCCCCCTCTATCACAGAATCCTCCGTCCGCCCCTGTTATAATTACCGGCTGGTTAACAAAATGACTGAAAAATAGACTGCTATTAGGGATAAACATTAAACATAAGGAATACTAATGATCATCAAATTGATATAAAATAGTCATCCTAATTTGCTAATCAATAAAAAAATTAAAAACTGAACAAAAAAATGTACGCATATCAAACATGAGGCTATGAGCAGCCTTAAACGAACAAAAGACCTGTCCATGACTGATAAGAAGTCATTTTAAAATGATATACGGTATCTTTTACCCATTATCAAAAAACAATCCAACTGCTTCTCAAGCAAAGAATGATTCACAAACAATCCTTACCAGTTTGCAATTGTGTAACGTCCATTACATATCCTGCGAGCTGAGGTTTTTCTCTTGCATGGCTTTTAGCGTTAACGAAGTCGTTCGCACGGCTTTTCAGTCGCGTGGTAAAGCCACGCAAGAGAGAAACCTCTGCTCGCAGAGCTTGGAAATTTCTTTTGGATCAGGTGGTATCGCGAGCGCAAGAAGAGCTTACAATTACACAATGTTTTTGCATATCAACTGTACTTGACAACCTTTGTTATTTTGGTTACTTTTGTTTGATATTTTTTTTAATCAACACGTTTTAAAAAGAGACATACATCAATTAGCAAAACTATACAAATGAAATATTCGTGGGTAATTATTTTTTTTGTTTCTAGCTGTTCTAAACACTCACAGTACTCACAGTGTTGCCAAAATAGGCACCATTAAAGAAAGCGAGAAGACTGTTTGTAATGGAGGCTGGCCTTTTATCAGCCCTTTTTCCCCGAAAAGACTCTGTGGCAGCGTTCTTATCCCATCATAAGGAGGATTTTGCCCAGAAAAATACAATGAGGGGAAACCTGGGTGTAGCTCGCCCCCCGGCCCTATACATACTTGCTAGGACATAAAACAAAATAAAAATGGTTCAAATACAAGCTCTACAATTTCTTACAATTAACATAAACGATCAAGAACATTTATTGTCATGGTGTTACGTAAATCTACCTGTTACTTAGACAATCAAATGCCCTTTACAATAAGATAGATTGACTAACAAAGAATAAAATTTACAGGGACTTTAGAAAATAATAATAATAATAATAATAATAATAATAATAATAATAATAATAATAATAATAATAATAATAATAATAATAATAAAACACAACTGTTAACGACAGATTATTAAAAGATTACTAAAAACATTTTATTGTCTTGTACAAAACAGGGCCAGGCTATACACTAAAAACAGTGTGCGTTAACGTCCTTGTTACAACAGAATAATAAAAATACTAAACAATATGTCCATAACTATTACTTGAATATATCTCAGTGTTTCTATCACTTTTCCTATGGATGTTGCTGAAACGGGGAAAGGGGAGGGGTGAACGGGAAAACGAAAAATGGAACAAAACCAAACTTTAACCCAAGCCCTATCAGTAACTTCGTTTCCAGTTCTCTGTTTTGTTTCCATTTTTTCATTTTCCCGTACTCCGCTCCCCGCTTCCCGCTTAAGTAACTTCCGTTTTCTATCTATACTTACAAGGGGAAATAAAACATTATTTGTCTTTGGATCTTGGATCTATTGGGCTAATAAATTAAATATGTTTCCACTATAATGAATCCCCGAGGGGCTTTTCAACTGTCATTTACAATTTGATTGTTGCAAAGATGAAAAAGAATTAAAATATTTAAACATTGTACCTTAAAAAAAGTGTTTGGAACTTCCGGACTAGTCAATCTCGTCAAACTGGTTTTTCGAGTGCGAGCATCCATCTATTGATACACTCCGAGGGTCATAACTGAACCCGCTGTACTAAGCGCAAGGCTTTTAAGCCTGGGTTCGAAAGTGTTTCCTAGCAAAATTCAGCTTATGCTCAACAAGGATCTTGCTCGATTCATTCAGGCTCTGCTATCACAACAGGGACAGATGCTCCGGAGGTGGGGGGGACTCCCATATAAAAAAGACGGGGATGCTCGTCGTCTCTCTTTGGGTGTAAATTGCAGATTTTGGTCTCAGTTAGGGTGTTTGTGATGGAAAGTCACTATAGTTGCCCATTTGGGTATCGTTTAGCATTGTGCATAAAGAAATTTGCAAATAATGCCCTGACACTGACCACAGGGAAGTCTTTCTTACGTGTCACTTTAATATTGAGCCACACCCACATTGGTCTCCCTTAGGGCTTTTTTAATTTGAATTTTCCGACGAACATCCCCGTCGCTATTATATGGGAGTCTCCCCCCCTCCCGGGAGTAGATGCTGCTTACGCTTTTGAAAATGGTTACATAACGGCTAACGAATCATTGCACAATCCTTTGTTCACGCTTCTAAGTAATTCGTGAAGAATTTATATGTATCTAATTGACATTAGCAACTATCTATCCCTAGCTCATACGGAGGGAACAAGCTATCTATATAAAAATGCTTTGCACGAACGAATCTTACCCTTTTTTGCCGCAATTTCCAGTGTAGTTTTCATTGCCCTCGAGCTCGCGACTGTCAACTAGCGGGGGTTACATGGCCTCACTTAAAGTAGCACCTTGCTATTTCTGGGAGCTCGAAGAAGTTTAAATTTTGACACAACTTGGTGACAATTTGTAAACTGAACTGCAGTGAATAGCACAGAAATCTCCACTGGTTTACATTAATGAAAAAATGTTGAGTTGCGCATTGGAAATCGCGACGAATCTGGATCAAACATCGCACGTGCAATCGAAACATGTATTAGCATGATCAAAAGTTCATGTCAAATGTAAAAGCAGTAATACTAGAGTTAAAGCAACCGAATACTGAACATACGTCGCTTGGCTGTGACGTTTTGTGGTAAGTTCTGTACTAGTAGTAACTCCAGAGCTGCTTGACCCTTCTCCAGAAGTAGGAGTTGTGGTAAGGGGACAAGGGAGCCTTGTTGGTTTCGCTCTTAACCGGCAGAGGAGAGGTGGCACCTGATCTCTTTTTCCAAATTGATCCACATGATAACAATTCAGGGAGTCTGGGTCGATCGGTTCATCACCACATCTAGTATCCTACAGAGGAGAAAAGAGCGCCATAGCTCAAACAAATACTTGACTTCTAAAGCTTGTAATTCAAGGCGCTGGCAGCAACACAAGGAAGCTAGACTGCGACATGTCCCTCTTTTTCTTCAGATTTATAAGTGAGGGGAGTACTGTCTCGCGCGTTCCGTCACGCGCGTGTCTTGTTCGTGTCTCGCACGTTTCGCTCAACGGACTGAGGAAAAATGACTGCTCGTAGTCTATAGGGAACCCCTACGAACGAGGTAAACATAGGAATTGCCTCAAAGGAGGATTTTTAAGTTTATTTGCAACCTTTTGAGTTTGCTTTTTAGTAACCTTTCAGTAAACGTTGCAGATAATTGATTTTCAATAGTCTTAATCGCACAAAAGATTTTAAATGAAAATGTGCACGTACACGTGACGGAAGGAAGACGCTGCTTAATAGCTAGCGCTCTCTTTGGTTACTTCAAGGTCACATGACATCTAAAACTACAACTGTTTCCCGCCAAAAGTCACTGAGTTGGCCACATGACAAAATAATATGACGTCAGGGGGGTAAAAGTGTACTAATAACCGCGAATGTTTACCGGCCATTGAGATTTACTTCGGTAAATTTTAAAAAGTAGAAGTTTTTTCTTCAAGGGCAATACGACAAATCACTTTTGGTCTGATCCCACGAAACTAGTTAATTTTGTTTGGCTCAAATCTCAATGTTGCATCTGATAGAAGTTTAGGGACCAGTCATTCAGTGTTTAGTGTTACGGGCACTTTTACGTTGAATAAGTATACACAAGAACAGTAGCAGATTACAGGGGTTACTGACATGCTTAGTCAAAACATTCAAACGCTAAAAGTTAGCAATCACTGAGGGTGCAAATTGTCATGGCAACACAGTAAGCAGAAGGCATTAGGTATTCTCATAACGTTCTCCCTTTTTAAGCTCATAGATCACAGTACTTTTACTGAATGTCAAGAGCCCAAAGTCCGGAGAGCAACTTCTGTGCCCTCCTCTCATGGCGTTTTTACAGGCCAGTTTATTTTGAGAACGATTTTGTTGCAAATTTAGACCACAAATCATTCTGCAAAACCTACAGACCTGAAAATGGTATTTTTGATGTTAGTAGTCATAGAGGGTCAGAATTAACCCCGTTGGTGTATAGGTATACGTATAGGTATAGGTAAGTCATTTATATTTACATGCCTTCCCGCATACTAATTCGGTATAGGTTTACTAATGAGCGTCTCCCTTATTCACTAGAAACAATAGGCTTGCCTCGGCTTGCCCGTTAAGTAACTTGAGCTCGGTTTTCAGACCGTCTATTAAAAGGAAAATAGGCATAAGAGAAGCGATCACCTAGCAACGCGAGAAACGGCTTCCTATATCTTATTTAGCGCTAAAACTCAGACATATAAACAAAACACATACAGAAAGTGGAGTTGAAAAGTCTTTATTTCAATTAAGTTTACGTCTTCTTATTTAGCGCTAAAACTCGGATATATAAACAAAACACACGCACATATACACAAAGTGGAACTGAAAACTCTCTATTTCAATTTTGTTTGACTATTACACAACTGTATGTTTTCTCCGTTCTATCTCGAGGAAATGAAAAACTATTGAAGTCTCAACGTTTCACGCGCCGTTAGTCAGGTAATTACGCGAGTTCACAAGCCCAAAGATGAATACAAATTAGCTCGACAGAAAAAACCTCAAGGGACCATCTTCATGTATTATTATAAAACAAATAACTTAACAAGGAGCAATTGATTAAACACGCGACTAATAATTGCTAGCAAAAAAGCGGACACGGGATACCGTTTAAAACAAAAAGAGTCAAATACAGAGCGATTTGAAAGAAATCTATTAAAACAGACAGAGAGAGCAAGCTATCTTTTTACGAAGTTTCCCTCCTCAATTTTTTTTATTCCCTCCTCTACAATTTTATGAGTTTGACTAATAGTCGCGGGTCGCGAGTCGCGGGTCCAATGTCGCGGTCGCGGGTCCAATGTCGCGGTCGCGGGTCCAAAGTCGCGGTCGCGGGTCCAATGTCGCGGTCGCGGGTCCAATGTCGCGGTCGCGGGTCCAATGTCGCGGTAGGGGAAAATGATTTAGGGTTCGAGGTAACAGCTGAGTGAAAACGACTGATATGAACACAATATAAAGGGAAAAAATCTTTTTTATGCACAATACTCTAGGGTAGCCAATTTACAGGTTACGGATGTTAGAGTCAACAAAATAATGTCTCAAGAAAAGACCTAAAAGAAAAAGCTGGCCGACTTTTGTGTTCAGCGCAAGTTTATTTTTTTTTCTTTCTGTCGGGCCCAGTTATGTGTAAATTCAGCTTTGAATATACTTATGCATAACAGTATCTGATAAAAAAAGTTACCATAAGTTACCATTGCTTTCTTCTTGTCGATGAATTGCTCACAAATGCTTAAGGGTTTAATTACTGAAAAATATGCGATACACTTCATAGACTACAGATTATAAACGTTACAACAACTTAAAGCCTTTTTTTTTAAAAAAGCGAACTCGGGCTCAAAAAGAGCACGAGTCTGTCGGTAGAAGAAACGAGAACTCTTATATTTAACAAATGTTTTCGGCAAAACTGAAAGAAAATGTAAATAGGCGCATCAAACTTCATTCAAGCGGTATTCAAGGCATGAATTTAATATGGAAACAAGTAATAATCCACAGAAAGGAGTCTGTTCCTCGAAGCAAGATTTTCGCTTAATGCTTTTATTTTTACAACTGAGACGGCAACCCAGAGAGTTCAATATAACTTCTTCCCCGATTAGTAGGCCTGACGGCAAGCTAGAAGACTAGACACTTAAATAAAGTTGTTGATTGATTGATTGTCTTCTTGTTCTCTTCACCTAAATGGCAACCAGGACAACCTGACAATAGGAAGCCATTCAATGTGCGTCTCAGTCAAATCTTGAAAACATGCATCGTAAATAACTAAGTGAGTAAGTAGGTAAGGAAATAATAACGCCCGATATCATGAAGCTGAAAAAGAAAGTAAACCGGACACTGAAAACGGTAAGTTATCAACTCCACCAGAGCTAAGAAAAGATAATAAATTAGGTACGTAATTCCAGATTCCAGGTACTGGATTCAAGTCTTTGTCCATTGGATTCCGGATTTCAATCGTTATTGGGAACAAACTCCTTTCTGTGGACAAGAGAGGATAAAGCTCGAGCTTTATCCCCTCTTGCTGTGGATTATTACTTGTTTTTTTATTAAAGTCATGCCTTGAATACCCGCTTGAATGTACTTTACTGGCACTTCAAGCCCAACGTCTCTCCTCCTCTTTCCAGTTACTTGTGAAAGAGTTTATTTTGGGAGTTTGCGACTGTTACGCGGGTAATCTTTTAGAGGACGGGTAGCTTGCAAACTAAACTGAACGCAGGGTTGTCGGAACAGCAACAAGAAGATTCATTCCAAAGATGAACGTAGTTTCCACTGAGTAAAACTCCACAACAGCACGTAACTCGTTAAACTTACACGGCCTCCGCCAACTTGAATAAACACTGCCTTCTTCAGACTTGACTAAACACGACCAACGTCAAACTCTCTTCGCTTGTGAAAACTAGTTGAAACTTAACTCGGGCTCGCCTACCTTATATACGTTTACAGTAAGATTCTAGAACTTTCCAAATAGTCTAATTATAGAAAGATTACAAAATATACCGCTTTTAGAAACGCTTACACAAGATCCTAAAATAAACAAATTATGAACTCTCGCGAAGCTTCTAGAAAGTCACACTGGTCACGCAATACAATTTTTCGTAACAGCGACCAGGAAGTTTTTCAACAAGCGTTTTCTTTATTTTTGCCGAAAACATTTGTTAAAATTGAAACAGTTCTCGTTTCTTCTACCGACAGACTCGTAGCTTTTCGAGCCCGAGTTAGCCTTTTTTAGAAAAGGTTTTAAGTTGTTGAAACGTTTATAATTTATAGTCTATGAACTGTATCGCACATTTTTCAGTGAATGCACCCCTAAGAATTTGTGAGCAATTCATAGACAAGAAGAAAATAATGGTTACTCATGGTAACATTTTTTATCAGATACTGTTATACATAAGTATATTCAAAGCTGAATTTACACTTAACTGGGCCCGACAGAAAGAAAACAAAATAAACTTGCGGTGAACACAAAAGTCGGCCAGCTTTTTCTTTTAGGTCTTTTCTTGAGACATAATTTTGTTCACTCTAACATCCGTAACCTGGAAATTGGCTACCGTAGAGTATCGTGCATAAAAAAGATTTTTTCCCTTCATATTGTTTTCATATCAGTCGTTTTCAAATCATTTTCCCCTGCCGCGACATTGGACCCGCGACCGCGACATTGGACCCGCGACCGCGACATTGGACCCGCGACCGCGACATTGGACTCGCGACCGCGACATTGGACCCGCGACTCGCGACATTAGACCCGCGACCCGCGACCCGCGACCATTAGTCAAACTCCAATTTTATTATTTTCGCTCATCATTCTTGAATTCCCTCCTCCACAAAATAAAAATGGAAAATAATAAAATTGTGGAGGAGGGAATAATAACATTGAGGAGGGAAAATATTAAAATTGTGGTGGAATGAATAAGAAAAATTGAGGGAGAATATTAAAATTGTGGAGGAGGAAATTCAAGAATGAGGAGCGAAAACAATAAAATTTTGGAGGAGGGAATAAAAAAATTTGGGGAGGGAAACTTGGTAAAAAAAGATAGCTTGCTTTCTTTGACTATTTTAATAGATTTCTTTCAAATCGCTGTGTATTTGAATCTTTTTGTTTTAAACGGTATTTCGTGTCTGCTTTTATTGCTAGCAATTCTTAGTCTCGCGTTTAATCAATTGATCCTTGTTAAGTTATTTGTGTTATAATAATACGTCAAGATGCTCCCTTGAGGTTTTTCCTGTAGAGCTAATTTGTACTCCACTTCGCATAACTACCTGACTAACGGCGCGTGAAACGTTTAGACTTTAACAGTTTTTCATTTCCTCGAGATAGAACGGAGAAAACAGTTGTGTAAGGCCCGTTTCAAACGTTGTGCTTCTGCCGTACCGAACTCAATTGATCGAATTAAATTCGACTTTAGCATGGCAGTAGCGCGACTTTTGAAACCAAGTCGTGCTTCTGCCGTGTAGCGCAGCAAGCCTTGCCGTGCTACACGGCAGTAGCTCGACTTGGTTTCAAACGTCTTTCTACCGCCGTGCCGCACTCAATTCATAAATTGCAGATGCATTAGAATACATTTAAAAGTTTGCTGAACTGTTTCTTTATTATTGCATTTTGTTTTCGGCAACAGCCGTTGTATTCGACTGAATAAAATTGACGTCTGAAATCAAGTCGTGCTAATGTCGTGCTGCAGTCGAGCTACAGTCGAGCCAGCTTGGCACGGCAGTAGCACGACGTTTGAAACAGGCCTAATAGTCAGACAAAATTGAAATAGAGTGTTTTCAGTTCCGCTTTGTGTATATGTGCGTGTGTTTTGTTTATATATCCCAGTTTTAGCGCTAAATAAGAAGACGTAACCTTAATTGAAATAAAGACTTTTCAACTCCACTTTCTGTATGTGTTTTGTTTATATGTCGACGAAAGAAACAAAAAGCCTTAATGATGTATAAAACCATGAATGACCTTGCTCCGGAATATCTACAAAGTCTCTTCTCTCAGCGTCACTCTGCTTACAATTTAAGAAACTCTGAGGGAAGGCTGACCCTGTCCAAATCAAGCACCAATTATTTGAAACGAAGCTTCTCTTACAGCGGGGCCATGTAATGGAATAACTTGCCCAAAAACTTAAAAAATGCTGCATCCGTTGAGCATTTTAAGCGAAATATCAAGAAGGTAGCTGATATATCGGATTCCCACACGGCAATCATGTAAAGAAGTTGTAATTAGTTTTAGTTTTTAACTTAAGCTTAACTGATGATTTCCCGTGTTTAAATAAAGATTTACACACATACATATGTCTGAGTTTTAGCGCTAAATAAGATAGGAAGCCGTTTCTCGCGTTGCTAGGTGATCGCTTCTCTTATGCCTATTTTCCTTTTATAGACGGTCTGAAAACCGAGCTCAAGTTACTTAACGGGCAAGCCGAGGCAAGCCTATTGTTTCTAGTGAATAAGGGAGACGCTCATTAGTAAACCTATACCGAATTAGTATGCGGGAAGGCATGTGAATATAAATGATTTACCTATACCTATACGTATACCTATACATACTGATGTTTTAATGTCGTTTAGTTTTCGTTGTTTATTTATGTATCTCATAACTCGAATGCGCACACAGACGGAGCGGAACTATAATTTTTTCGAAATAATAATGTTCAAAAATGGGTCTGCAGCAAAAATTAACGGGTGCGTAAAAACGACGTGACAGGTCTAGGCTGAAACTGCTTACTCCAGGTTATGGGCTCCTGTGAATGTCCCTTTTCAGTATACTTACCGGCGGTCCCTCCGTGGTCTCCCAATCCGCAGCGCACGCGATTTTATTACAAGACCTTACTGTGTCACTAACAACGGGTTTGGTTTTTAATGAACACTTGTTACTGAGTCCATAGTTTTTCGCATCGATCTTTTTGCGGCATATAACACTGCGATTTTGCCGTCCATTGCCACATGATTTTGAACAAATTGTCCAGGGAGTGGTAAACCACCTGTAAGAAATAACGGATGAGTAATGAACTTACCAAATTTACTCCGATTAAACGCCGCCCTCGAAGCAAAATGACCGTTTACTCGAACCCCTCGCTAACTCGAACCCCCGGGGGGGTACTTTAGAAATTTCTGGGTGGGGATGTGCCGCTGGTACCCTGGAACCCTTAACCTATACCAGAGCTAGTTCAGCTGAATTTTGCCACCCTATACTAGAGTAAACTCCCCAAATCCCCCCTATCCTAGAGTAGCTGTTTTCCATAAACTACTGAGGTCACTAGCATAGTCTAGCCAAAACAAGCTGAGTTGTGTAAATTTCAAATTTCAAATTTGATTTTTTTATATGTTTGAGTGGCAATTCCCCGTTTCCCTACTCCAGATAAAATCTTCAACCAACTGATCAGTTTCCTGAAAAATGATACCCTATTCTAGACCCAAACACTCTGATTTATATACCCTATCCCAGAGTAAACTGCTTGAAAACCATACCCTTCACAGCGGCACATACCTATATAGCCCATATATGGCAGTGCCCCCCCCCCCCGGGCTCGAACCAAAATCGATTTCCCCTGGATTTCCATCATACAATTACCATAATTATACCCTCGGTAATTCGAACCTGCCGCTAACTCGAAGTAATTCTTATTTCCCTTCACATCATTTCTTTATAAATTTACCCTCGATAACCCGAACGATGCTTTAAACGCCCGGCAAGACGAAAAAAATGTGTACTGCAGTCTAAAACCTTGAAATTATTTTAACAACAGTTGTTAAAACGGTTGCCAACCATGTATTCTTTGTCTTTACTTTTTCATAAGTCTGGTATCAAGCTTTAAAGTATTCATGTTAGTTGCATTCATTCCCCATCCCATTTCCTTATTTTGTGGGTTATTTGCTTCGAACTCCCGATAGCTCGAACTCCCGCTAACTCGAACGTTTCTCGATTTCCCTGGAAGGTTCGAATTATCGACTGTATATACCGTAAAATTCCGAAAATAAGCCCCTCCATGTATAAGCCCCTACAAATATAAGCCCCCCAAACCGGTAACGCAAAAAACCCTCCGTTAAATCGCCCCTCCAAATATAAGCCCCCTCGGGGGCTTGTACCTGGAAAATTGCCCTATAATAAAAAGTAAAACAAAGGAAATCGGTAAATTTACTTCCAACTACAAGGCTAGCCCTATCGATTTTGAAACGCAAATTTTCCTCCGTAGATAAGCCCCTTCGAATATAAGCCCCTCCAAAAATAAGCCCCTCAAAAAGGGCCTTTAAAAAATATAAGCCCCGAAGCATATTTTCGGAATTTCACGGTATAACAGCTGGATCCTAGTTTGACGTTTTCCATTAAATTTGGAGCTGATGTTTTTCAAGTCTTAGAGCCCTTGTGGCAGATGGTTGAGACTATAATGGATTCCCCAAAATGAGATTGTCATCTTAACTCAAAATACATGATAGGAGTCTTATATCTTAAACAAGTAAACAAGAGAAGGAACCGAACGGAAGAAAACAGTACGTAGCATGTAGAACTTTAACCCCCATCATTTGATGTATAATCCATGCACATCCGTATCCACAACACCATCAATGCCTAACTGCCGACACCGGTTAATTTTAACGTGCTTTACATGGCATTGCATTACAATATTGGAAGCTAACCGTTTTTAAGACAGTGCTTAACCTTAATCACTGTATTTCGGTGCTAAACCCCGTATTCAACCCTTTTCCTTGCACATTTTACCTTACTCTGATTTCCCCACTCTTCTCAAAAGTGCCCAATAAATTAATTCGCATAATAGACCTTTTTACCGATAAGGCGGCCATATTGAATTTAATAGACTTAAGGAGTATTATGGGATGCCCAGGGGGCACTCGCTCAGTATTTACGCGCGGTTTTTGGGCAAAAAGAGAACTCAATGTATATTTTACAACCCATGGAAAATTATACTCACGAAGAAGGACAGTCAGGTTTACTGCAAATTTTCTGAGTTGCTGGGCGTGTTCCACAAGCCGCGTCACTTGCGGGCGTACTATCTTCAGCTACCTGGCATCGCATGGATCGTGTACGGATCCCTAGAAACAAAAACTCAGTATCATGAAGGAGTTGTGACACGGCTGTCTAGTTCCTTTTGTTAAAACATGGTATCAATTTAGGTTTCTAGGAAACTCCCCACCTACCCCTCCCCTGAGCCAACATTAACACTTACTACTCGTTTAGGGCAAATTGTTGGCTCAGGGGAGTTTCCCATGTATTTCCATGTATTCCCAGTTCGCTTCCTTATGCGTTATGCAAGTTGACGTTAACATTACTTGTAAAAGAGAAAATAACAGCTTCTTGTTTAACAAATATACTTCCCGAGCATTATATCAATCGTTACAAACAACAAAATCAACTTTGAAAAACTGTTATGCTAACAAGTTTTCTTAAGACCCACACTTTCATTCCGTGCTAGTCTTCTTCAAATTTGTTCATCCGTCGGCTTACTTTGCTATTTGCTGTGTTATTTATACCATCTTGTAATGTTTTGAGGGGTTATTATTTTTTTGTTTCACTGAATTTAGTGGCAGTTCCTACCATTAGAATTTTGACATAGCTCCTTTAATTTGGCGTTCATTTTTTTGAGCGATTAGGAGTCGAAATTTTGTACGAATAAGGTGTTTCAGTGGAACGGAACACCTAAGCCAGCGAATTTTCAACTGGTCTAAAACAATTCGTCTGGTTCTGTGTTTACTTAGCCTCAGCCTAAATAATTGGCAATAATTTTTAAACACGCGCGTAACCTTGACGTGTTGTAAAAATAGAAAGTTAGAATGTAATGAATATGCCCAATATTTGTATACCTTTACCGCAGGTAACTGGACATGACGACCAGGGATCAATTTTCCATTGGTATGTTAACTTTGGTTTCTGTTCTCCTCTTTGTACTGGTCTCCTCAATGTGTAATCCACGCCTGGATTCACACCTTGTTTATAAATGTACTGGAAGAGAGGCGAAATAAATCAGAGTAAACTTTGTTAGCCATAATGTGGTTCTACTAACTTACAGATTGTGGATGGAATCATTCCGTTTTACGAGTCTCAAAGCTTGCGGAGTCTTTGCTGGCTCCTCGTCGCCCGGGACGTCCCGCGAACCGTCCCAAGCAGCGAGGAGCGATTTGAGACGACTGCATTCGCATGCCAGAAACCCCGCCGGCAGTTTTATTTGTGTTTTAGGATAGTGCACATGAAATTTGGAATTTCTTAGGAAGTTGTCAGTATTAGAAGTGGAAAGATTAAAAATAATTCACTGGATTTTTGATAGCATATCTAGCCTAGGCTGTTGAAGCCTTCATGATACTGTTAAAGACGCTTAGCCCCCTCACTTTTTTCCCTTCATACCGACCCTCCACACCTATCGACGCCTGTAATGAAGGCTCTGAACGCAGGGAATTACATACTTACCATGACTTTGAGAAGGACAGTTGTGGGGCCAGCAATATCGAGCGAGTCTTTGAAATTGCGTCTTCTGTTAGTGTAGATGATCTCCGTTCCAGCTGCTTTAACACTTTGGGACAAACCCATATGACCCCCGCACAAATAAGTACCGTTCTCGTCTTGGACACCTAGAAATGAACACACTCGGGTTGTTAGGGCATTTTCATGACCAGAATACAGTTGGACCTTTACAAAGCGGCCACCCTCTACTAAGCGGCCAATGATCAGAGTCCCGAAATAATTGTAAAATAGATTTGTAAATTAAACCTGTCTTTAATATGTGGCCACCACAATTTTATTTTTATTTTATTAGATTCACCAATTATTGGCAGGGTCACAGCGACAGTATGACGCCAATTACTGCGCGCACGTAACAGTCGCTCCCCCCATGAAAGATAGACCACCACACCGGGAACTACGTCCCCTGCTCTTTACGAACAGTGTGTGGGTTCTTTAACGTGCCACAGAATTTACATATGCAGGGGTTGTGAGACGGGGCCTACGGTTTATCGTCCTTATCCGAGAAGATAGAAAGTCTAACCGTTTGCAGATGTCTTTACAAAGGCAGCACTTTCTCCTGAGTTATTTAAAGACCCTGAGTGTTGGTCCGGCCGAGACTTGAACCAACGGCCTCCCGCTCGGCAGACCGGCGCTTATGCAACTGAGCTAACCGGGCGGCGGTAATCAACTAATTGTATTTAAGACCCTGAAGAAGGAAGGCCTTGCCTTCCGAAATATTGGTAATAAAAAAATATAAATTGCCGACTTTAAAATCAGCCTTGCCTCTTTTGTTCGATATCCCGGCAAGAGTTCCTCTATTGTTGTCAACTCTAATAGGCGGCCACTAAAAGTTAATACACTTAGTTTTGCTTTATATGACGGTAAACAATCAGCCATTTTGCAATCGTCAAGTTGTAGATCTTCGCAAGTGAACACTAGTTTGACCTACCAAACGCCGAAATTTTCATCTCAAAGACGCAAGAAAGGAAAATTTTATGGAAATCGGTTTACTAGTAGGCAAGGAGTGAATGAAGAAGGGTTAGTGCCGGTGGAAAGCACTTCAAGTGGATCGGCAATGAGTTCTTCGGATGGTCAAGAGGAAGCGAAAGAATGTTCAGCGTCGTATCAAAAGCTCGTGACAAATGCCGAAGACGAGAAGCCTAAACCAAAGGTACACGATAAATATTCAGAGGAAGATAGTCCCACTATCACCGGATTTTGATTTTTCGATATGGAGGTGCTGTCATCTGTTTTTGAGCAGCTACGGTGTGGCGATTGTGGCAGTTTCAGCCTTCTGTTGATGGAATATAGCACAATGTGTTCCGGGGATCAGCACCAGCCATCGAGCCGGAGGGAGCAGATCGCATATTTCGGAGGTCTGTTGAAAAACACAACCTCAGATACACTGAATTTTATGGTGATGGTGACAGTAAAAGCTTCACAAGGGTGAAAGGAGTTTATGAAGATGATGGAATAGAAATGGCAAAGAAGGAATGCATTGGTCATGTCAAGAAGAGAGTGGGAACTGCACTTCGTAAATTAAAGAGAGAGAACCCAGGCTTAGGAGGCAAGGGTAGACTGACTGATAGTCAAATAGACAAACTTCAAAACTATTATGGCATAGCCATAAGATCAAATGTTGGAAATCTTGCTGGCATGAAGAAAGCAATTCATGCTAGCCTAATGCATTGTGCATCCACTGAGCAACGCCCCCTTCATGACCACTGCCCAACTGGCAGTGCAAGTTGGTGCCGTTATCAACAAGATAAGGCAAATCAGACCAAGCTGTACAAACATGGACCTGGCTTACCTCTTGAGATAATTGCAAAGTTAGAGCCAGAATATGTTAGACTCAGCAATGACATTTTACAGGAAAAATGCTGGCATGGTAAGACGCAAAATCAGAATGAATCATTAAATGGAATGATCTGGCAGAGAGTCCCAAAAGAAGTTTATGTTGGACGGGAAACACTAGAACTAGGACTGTATGATGCAGTTGCTCATTTTAATATTGGAGAAGTTACTGTTATAAGGATTTTGCAAGCATATATACAGAAGAGGGTTGTAAGCTTCTTGATCAGCTATGCGTGGATGGTGCAGAACATAAAAGCAAGGCAAGCACCAAAAAGAGAAGAAAAGTCATAAGAGGACTAAAAAAAAGAAAAGAGGACAAAAACAAACAAAGAGAGGGTGTGAACTATGCCTCAGGACAGTTCTAGAGAGTTGTCTATTTGGAAACTCTGTTACAGTCATTGCGAATTCTATTTCTCAAACTTTAAACCATTTTTTCGGAACTATGAACACTCTAGCAACCATAACTTTTCATGGTTTTATTCAATTCTTCTCATTTTTGGAGTGAGAAATCTTTGTATGTTTTTACATGCAATGAACTACAATCATTTATCTTGGTGTAATCTTTGTTGTCTGAGGGCCCAAAACTGGATCCTTAATTCAGTTTATTTTGAATGTCAATATGTTTATTGCAATAATTTTGTATCTATTAGTCTGATAAGAATGCCTTTAGGTCATTGCATAAAATAGAGTATGTAGATGAAATTCCAAAAGTTTCAGCAGTTTTCCTTGTAATGTCTTGGAGATAGAAGTGTTTTTGTACCGGTTATCCCAGGGGGGTTAATTTTAGCATTATTGGTTGCCATGGTAACTAAACAAGACAAAAAGTATAAAAATATACTCATCTCATGCTATAGTTTAAGAATACCTGGGAATACTTTTGCAAAAGAACATATCAAAAAATAGTGATTTTTGAGGAATGTACCACCTTGTCGACTAGTTATGCCGCTTCCGTCGCGTGTTAAAATGATTATGATTATTCCACACTTAGATTTCTGTTTCTTCTTTATGTCTCTTACCAAGAGTATTGCGCGTTTGTTTCTTCATTTGAAATTTGACTTCAAAGGTTCCAACAGGAAGTTCGACAATGGTATCAGCATTTGCAGCGCCTGAAGAAAATAACACAATATTCACGATAAGCGCTCTCTTACTCGACTTTCTTTAATAAGAGACTGAAAATTTATCGTGGGACATTGAAAATGGGGTAATCAGGGGGAGCTGGCAGCGGGGTCTGGAACCGAGTTTACATGATCACCCAGTTAAGAAATTTGGCCGAGTGAGACTGAGTACCAATTTTCCTTCAAAACCCTTCGGGACAAAAGATTTTGCCCAGTTTGTAATTTGAACCAAAATGAAGATAAAATTCACTTTCTCTTCCACTTCCCGAAATATTCAAGTCTTAGAAACGTTTTTTTTTTCATCAAATACAAAATTTTTTTTAAAAAAACTTTAAGCAAATACCCTACTCGGACTTAGTGATTAAACTATGTTATCAATTAATTTACGTGATAACTTACTATCACTTCAGAATAATGGCACTTAATTTTTACTAGAAATAATGTATTTTTTTCTTTGTTTTCTTTATTCCCTATCCTTTTGAAATACTGTAATAACTTATAGTCATGCAAATAAAGGTTTGCTGTTGTTGCTGTTCAAAACAAGTATGGCGAAGAATGCAGACCGGAAGGACGATGAGTTATGAGGTTTTGCTCGGTTTGAAGTTTTCCCGCGTTCAAAAATCCAGAAAAGGTTTTAACGATTTTTTTAATGGAAGTTTTGGAGATCAGGAGGCGTATTAAAAGTTCATGGGTGACTTCACTTATCGTAATTCTACACCTTGGCATCTGGACATCTCGGGAAGTCTTGAATTTTTTTCAGGCTTCTAACGATCTGCTTAATTCTTTCATATACTACTCAGCTAAATTCATTAATTGCTAAATATTGCGATGTGTGAAAATTGACGTCAAGAGTGTAGCAAAATTGCCAGATTATCGAACCATTAATCTAAGAGACCTGGCGAAGAAGTTGAGTTGTTTTGGCAGTGAGAAAAAAATGGTGGAAAATTTCGCTCGTTTCACGAGGAAGAAATAGGCGAACTACTGGCTAAAAACATGGCAAGAACAGCAAGAAGACAACTCAACGGACTAATTCTGTTATTTGGAGAAAAGTTGCTGCACTGAACAACCCTTATCTCCTAAACCCGCCTATAAACTTGCACTATCGAAGATGAACTTAACATCGATGGAGGTAAAGATGTTCTAATAAGCTTGTTTTTAAACTAGGAATTATTTGAAGAAATAATAAAACTTTATTATTGAACTCGGCTTTCGTATCATCTGAAGAATTCCTCAGATGATACTCAGCCTCGTTCAATAATTGTTAATTACCTGCTTGAGTGTGAGACCGTGTATAATTTTTGTCGATGTGGTGGCACGAGTCGCCATTCCCCCCGCATTTGAGACAACGATCAGGCCTCGTATTAGAATCCACTACATTATCACAGCCAACGTTCTAAGAAGTTAAATACGAAAGCTAAAATCATATTGATGTAAACATGTCAGATACGACTACACACAATTAATATTAAGACCTTCAGATAATAGGGAAAGTCCACTTCCGGTTAATGTGCGTCACTCAATAGCATCGCTGCTTTTCTTTTTGCACACTTGAGCTGTGATTTTAAACAAACTTTTGGGAAAATCGTCTCTATAAGAGTAAAGACACTTAGCCATACAAATTTGGTGGTGTCAAGGCATATTAAGCTCACTTCCGGTTGAGTTGTGTCGCTCAAAAACGTTGCTGCTTAAGCTGCCTAATTACGTCTTATAGTAACCTCATTGAAACCTTCTGGTTCCCGGAACGATTAGAAAGGTTCTTTGTTTTGTCAATAATTGGCGTAAAAATTTAGTTTGGACACTTTGCTCCGAACGACATTTACGGCCATCTTTTCGCCTTTTAGGGGATGAAGGGGTTCAGATTTCTATGATAGCTAAATTACTGATATCCCGTTGAATACGTCGTAGATTGAAATTTTCATAATTTGCCTAAGACAAGTTTTTTAGACTAACTAAAACATGAATTTTAAATCTACGGAAGCAATTTGAAAGCTCTCCTACATATCTTTTTATTCTTTCAACAACTTTTAGCCTTTGACTTATTTGGCAAAAAGAGGGTGTAAAATTAAGCCATCTTTAACCCTTTAGGTGCCAATAGTGACCAACAACAATTTTCTCCTAACAATATCCATACACTGTCAAGAGATAAAGTTATGAGAATTAATAAAATGATCACCATAGAGAAAATGCTTTGATCTTTTATCAAATTCTCTCTACTAATTCTTAAAGGAAATGTATGGAGATCAGTTTGGAGAATTTGTATGTGGATATTGGGGCTTAAAGGGTTAATCACGTATACGAAGACACAAGTTTGGGATTTAATTTTCTTTTATTTTCTTAATAGTTTTTTTCAAAACTATCAATGTGCGCTTTTAAGCCGGCCCGGAAACACAGTTATATGTTGTACCAGTTCGTGCAACAACAACCAAGACACAAAGAGTAAAATTGCCTACAGTATCGCGCGCAATATATTTCGTTTCGCTTTTACCAGATGCATCATTCACTACAACATTACTGAGCGGCTACAAAGCGTGCTCAGCACTAGTTTAATTCGAAGGTGAAAGGTGATTGGCTGAAGACTGAATAACATTGGCTGAAATCATGCGGGTGTGCAAGCCCGTGACAATGAGCACCCGCAGCCTAGTCCCTAGGCGTTCTCTCTTGATCCGTTGTCCGCGCGAAGTCTGGGAGAGAACGGGCGAGTTCTCGGTGACCATCTTTCGGTGACGTCACAGCTCATGGTAGAGTCCAGGAATGACCGAGCCCAAAACTCCCGAGGACTAGGCTGGAGCACCGGTACAAAAACTATGTATTTACAGAAAACCACAGGTCACTGCATTTAATTTAGGCTGATGTGATCTGGTGTCATTGGAAACTTAAGTTATATCATTGCACTTAACGCTGCAGATAGTAGACACACCCCAAAATTCATAACGCGCAATGTTGCAAAGGTAAGAGAAGATTTTTAAAACAATGCGCCCAATATTGCACGCAACAGTTCCAGAGGGGTTCACCCATTAAACGCCCTTGTGTCTGCGCCTTAGGGCAAAATTGCATGTAGTTTTCTCACTCACCCGACATATCCCTTGAATGCATGGATTCTTTTGACTACCATAACATATTGTGCCATCTTTCACACGTCCTAATGGTTTTAATGAAAATCCAATTCTACAATACAAATCGCAAACACCTGAAAAAAAAAATTTGGTATTAAACAGTCATTGGATCTTGGACAACAGTTCACTAGAAACAATAGTCTCCTTCGCAGCCGTTTTTAAGGTCGTCACACAATGCTCCTTCCCAAAAGGAGACGGCAAAATCGGCTGCGAACTGCAGAATGACGTTGACACATTATGATTCACACCCAAGGTGCTGCTTTTCCCGCTAAAGACATAAAGAGACGCGAGGCTAGGTTTATTTACTTCCACAACGATCCAGATGCTTGTTCGTATTGACCTTGGAGCGCTTTATGCTTTTAAGGTATTCCACTTTCAACAGTTTCAGGTGCGTCTTGTCGCCACGGTGCTCCAGCACAGTGCCAGAACTCACGTTGAAAGTTTTCGTGAAAGGCAAATACTGAATGGTTTTATGAAACAGAACAATAGTAATGGCTATGCTAAATAGTCTGAACAAAAGCCTACGTATCTAATCAAAAGGGAGCTTTTGCAAAGAGGTTTTTGAACGATGCACGACAACCGAGAAGAGGCCTTTTCCATTTCAAAATGCCTTGACAGTAGCCAATTTGTATTGCTAAGTGCTTTTACCCTTACGATTTGCTTGAAAATGAGGACAAATATATACCATTGCTCAACAATGCAAAATGTCTACTTCCAGTTGACGTTAGTCTGCCATACAGCCGTTTTTTGTCGCCACGCAACGCTTCAGCGACACAAAAGACTAGGTTGAGGTGCGTAGCGGAAAAACCTCTTGACGTAGGCTCCCTAATTAACAGATCTTCCTTCACTTTTGTTACAGATATAATGTAATCTTACCGCCGTGGTGGTGATACACAGATCCTCTCCAAGCCAGCGAGCACTGCTGGTTTCTAAACGATGGAGTTCCTGTTGGGCATGGCTGAAACAAAATGAAAGGGTTAAAAAGATGGGAAAAAAAAAAAAATAAAAACTT